ACAATTCTGAGTGGAAGAATTCATGCCGAAACAGGAAAAATCAATGCCGTATCCTTTCTTATACCTAAGCCTTATTTTTCTCTTGACTTTGGTTGAGTTCTTCTGTACTTCTCTTCCTGCCCCTAGTTCCCTCTACTGGCGCACTCATTTGAGTGTATAAATAAATAAGCAAATAAATAAATAAATAAACGATGGCCACCTAATCTTTCATTCCACCTTATGATTTCACTGTTAATAAACGGAAAGTGGCACCCCAACAAAACTCCTACCTTAAAATTATCCAACGCCCTCCCTCCATCACCTTCAAAAAACAAATTGAGCTTGTCAAAAGTTCATAAATTCCGGACTAACAAAAAGATAAACAATCTCAGAGCATAGTTCTATTCGCATTATCAACAACTTAACAATCTATAACTCCTATTCCACTAATACTTACAATATAGTAACATTTGTAATCTTCGGAACAACAGTATTGTCCCAGATCATGTGGCTTGAACATATTTCGTCAAGAGCTATGTTTTTCGCTCATCTTCTTCGATGTGGCCGAAAAACGGGGCGCAAACGTCGCAGGTCCAAGATTCCACGCTTCCACCTAATCAATCATTATTGTTATTTGCTAATGTGAATGGCTGCCACGACAGCAGATATTTCAATCCAAAACGTCTTACCTTCACTGGTAGTTCATTGCCATAGAGATCTAGCAAAACCTTTGGGTCAACTTCATCATAAATAGATGTGCCCTTCTTGGTGGGTTCTTCCTGAAACGACACAAAATAATGGAAGTGCAAGACTTCAGAGCAGTGCAAAAATAAGCCGAAAATTACCTGTTTGATAAATGGGGTCAGCATTGAAAACTCAGGGTCGATGCACAGTTGAAGTGGTGCTCTCGTATGTTTTTCTCGGAAGGGAACGCCGGCTTTTTCACAAGCCTTTCTAGCCAATAAATTCTGAAGTTAAAAACAAATATCACTTCTACACAAAAAACAACTCACATAATAATCTATTCACTTCTCCTTGACAACCTTCCCCAGAAAACACGCAACACCAGATCCCTCCTGCAGTTTCCCTCGATCCTGCTTTTTCTGAGGACTCTTTATTCACCCTATCTTTACCCCGTCACTTCCCCATGAGACTTAAGTTCCCTTCAAGCTTTGTATAACATATTATGACCTCCTAAGCTCACCATTTGCACAAACTTCGTCCCGTTGCCACCACTTTTCACTATGCCAACTCTAAGTTATGAAGTGAAAAACCTCCACTTTTTAAAAATCATGCCCCAAAACTGCGCCTCTTTTCAATTTGTGACACAAATCACATAATCGCGCAGATTTTGCCATTACTTGACAAGTAATTTCCCCTCTTTCCTC